ATAAAAACTAATTTTGACGTAAAAAAGCGTTGCTTTTATAGCTTTTATATTGATCTTTATGTTTGACAATATTTTACCTCGTTTTAAATGCATGACAAAGACCTACCTCCTCTAATTGACGGTTTCAAAATCCAATATGGCCGCTGAAAATTAATGAGAGCCTTTCACGTTTTTCCCACTAACCCTGTGTTGAGATATTATCAATAATTTAATTTGAGGCAGATTTAATTAAATAATTTCAGTGGATCTCTCAATCACTTAACACTGTTGGTCCTCTCAATGTGTCAATTTGCCAGTTTTTTTTATTTTTGTCAGAGTGAGCGGTGAGCAGAAGTAGAACAGCATCTTAAGAAATAATTGGCATGAAACTATCAACGAAGTCGTTGGGGCAAATCACGCTCAGTGGATTCAACTTTTCTATACACTTGAAAGTCCACTGGACCATGATTGATCAAGCTAGAGTTCAATATCTCTAGACTAATTGAAACGACTTGGGAAAGGAGGGCTCTCGCCGCTTCTCGGTCTGTGTTTCATTAGAAGTTCGCACAGAAGTTTGAGTGGCTTTTGCTTCCTCGCTAAAAGATGGCAATCAAAACGAGCCGTGCTAATTAGCCTAGGTTGCGATAGAAAGGTGTGGGTCTGCGAGACTAATCGCGGCGGCGGCGGCGGAGTGAAAGCAATTCCAGCTCGCAGCCCTCAACACTAGCTCTTGATTAGAGCCGACTCATCGTTTCCTTTGTGTGCAATTAATGGCGAGAGGGTCTCCCTGTATATTATGACACGCACGTGCCTCCTTAGCATGCGCGGGCCAATTGCTCCGTTTGGTTTTTATTTTCTCTCCGGCCAACGCACAGTCCATTTGCTCGGCCGAGATTGAGTTTGCCCGCGCCCCAGGGGGGTTTTATGTTTTATTGATGGAGCAGCTCAAGAAAAACAATTTCCCCCCGAAGCAACACGTTTGTGTATTTTGGCCCTGGAAATTTATTCAGCTCGCCGTTGGATGCGAAAAACGTTAACTTTGAAAGCTGCGCGGATGTGTGTTTTGGCCGTAATACGAGCGAACCTTGTGAGAGTTTGTGCGACACGTTTTGTAAATACACGCACTGAAGGGGTATGTACGCAACATGCGCTTGTATTGCGCTAAATTGGACGGGGCTTTGAACCGAAATTTATGTCCCATGTACGGAGAGAGTGCGTGCCAAACAAAATAATATTGCGTCAAAACGGCGTAAAAAATGAAAAAGGTCAGCTCGGAAATAAAGCTGAATTTATGCGCTAATAATTTCCTTCCAAAAAGCGATTATTAAGGCTTTTATTCTAAAATTGCAAAATTATCACCCATAGGTTGTTATAACTGGAAATAAAAGAGCTTGTAAAAATCAAAGTGAAGGGAATAAAAACCACCAATATTTGTTAGTGTGCGTTGTGTTTTAATTAAATTTTGTGTTGAATAATAGTACATTGTTATGGTTGTTTAAAACAATTTCAGTTTCATTTTGAAAAAAGGGGAGAAAACACCTAGATTAACAGAAATAGCAAAAAAAAACTCGATTTAAAGAATGGAATACCGAAGTTTAAACTTTTTATTAAGAAATACATTTAAATAAATATAAATTTTAAGACTGATTTATAAGAAAACACCATTGGTGTGCGTCTTTACATATAATTATGGGATCATATCTTGATGTGCTACTTAACACAAGCTTAATTGAAAGTCAATTCACAGGAATATGATTTATAATTAAAAAATTTAAAATCGACGAAATTTGAATTTTCTGTGTTACACTTACATTTATTTATTTTTTTTTCTATATTTACGTTTGAATAATCAAATTTTTAAAGAAAAAAAAAGTTTTACTATTAAATAAAATGAGATACTTTCATGTCCTCAGGCATCTCTCAAGTTGATGGTTTGTGTGTGTCTGCTTTGTTGGCGTTGCTTTTAACGAAATTAATCTCTCGTGTCTGAGAGTGGTGTGGCTTTTATTGAAACAGCTGCCGGTGCACAGGTTGATTGGCGGTGGCATTAACTCGCGAAACACACACACGTTAGTCCAATTGTACGCTGCCCTCGGCGCCCCCCTGAGTAAAAAGTTTGTGTTTCGCCCAGTGGAGAGTGTGTTGAGCGAACTCGAGCAAGCGTGTCTTGTGCAAATCCCCCGGTTGGAATTAGGATCGGTGGCCTCGGGAGACGCGGCGCCCGATTCGAGGCACGCTCGCTCCTCTCGCTGCGCCGCCGGCAGGGTGTTTGTCAATTGATTTGCCACGTGCACAGACACAGAGGATATAAATTACAATCGGCCAAACATGTTCCGCCGCCAATCCAACGATGATCAAGTGCGAAAACGAGGCCCCTTCCTACTTCCTTTCGAGCCGCTCAGATTCACAAAATTTATAACCTGGCGAAAAAGCAATATCACAAATTGCTCGGGTTCTCAGATATTTTCACGCCGCTTTTAGAAACATCCAGGATACATCCAATATTTTTCTATCAGTCTGTAGAGGAAAAGTAACTTTTTCCGCACAAATAAATCGATTTTTGTGGCTCATATTGGAGATATAATCCTTTGTAAGTTAAAATTCTTCAAAAATTTAAAAAAAACTAAGATTTGTATATTATTGCATCATTTTGATTGACTTAATTTGGAAGCTCAATTTTATTCAGGAATTATTTTCTTCTTCAAAAACCAATGCTAATTTATCATATCTGTTTTTTTTAAGCGAATTAAAATTATACAAGAACTTCCATTACTAAAATAGAAAAGTTATTCGTTGATTCCTTCTTTAATTTAAATTCCCTTTTCTTTTTTTGCTGCTAAAAGTTTTATAGTGGAGGAGAGGGTGTAAATTTTAATTAAAAGAGCACTAACCTTTCAAATTAGGAGGAAGTCGTAAAGTGTCTTTAAGATTAAATTACACGTCTTGCCAGAGCGAAACTTACTTTTTCTTTCTTTTCTTCTTTCCATTAATGATGCTTAACGACCGTTAATTCAGGGCCATAGCGCCTGCCATTAATCTGGCTATGCAACCTGCGTGGCCGACGGGTCGTGCGGAGCAGCATCGTCCGCCCACACAGGCCAACGAGTGGTCATTAAAGCGGAAGCCGACGCAATAATGCGATATTTCCTGAGCGCAGACAATTGAGTTGCACGGAGAGTGAAACTTTGAAGCTACGGGGTCATTGCAGCGTCCCTTCGCCGTTTAATTGAGTCAGTCAGACGGATTCTTGCCTTCCAGGAGAGAAGCTGGAAGGTTATTAATTTCGCCTGCCAGCAAGCGCTCTTTTCTTCCTTGAAGTAAAAATAGAAAAATGCAAACAAATTCCAGGTTATATTTTGGATGCAAAAACTTTTCTTATGCCTTATTATTTTGATATAAAATAAATCTAATGATTATTATGGATTATAATTTACGTATATTTTTAAATTATAAAAGACATTATTATTATAATAGCTTAACTAAAGAAGCTGAAATTTTTTTCAAAGTATATTTCCTTCAAAACCAAGATTGATTTTCATTGAATTAATTAATTGTCAGATTTTCTATCCAATTAAAATAATACAATTAGCTTTATAATTAACATTTGTTCAAATTTTTAATCACTTTATTTTGTTATAACAAATCCTTAAATCTCTCTCATTTCCAAGAGCTGAGTTTTTTCAGTAGTTGGCATAAACTTTCAAACATGATATTATATAACTGATAAGTCTCAAGATTAATATTTTTTATTAATATGTTTACTCTGTTTTTATTTCAATCTGACTTCAAATAATTGAGTTTGCTTTAAGAAAGATATAAAATTAATTGGATTTTCTGTGTTAATAGTCAGGATAGTTAAATTTCATCTTTTTTTCTGCAAAATAATTTCCCAATCATATCGATTCCTGCGCGTGCACATCCAACTCAACATAAAATTCCTTTTAATCGGGGACCAGAGATGAAGACACCAGGAAATGAGCAGGGTTTGGTGGCGCAATAATCCATTTGCTTTTATTCCTTTCGGCGGAATTCGCACGGCCATTATTTTTTATTCGGCAAAAGGCACGTGTTGAGAGCGCGAAAGGTGGAAATTAATTTGCGCCTGTAGGGAATTTCGCTCTCGCTGAACTGAGAGACCGCAAGACAACGCGCGTTGCGCGAGGCAGCGTTGGAAATCATTTGCGGTGGCACAGCCGGATCTGACACTCTGAGGTCAAGTGCCCCCGAGCCGCCCGCCTGCCCGCCCGGCGAACCAATTTAAACTTGAAATATACGTCTCGTTGGGGCTAGGCGCGGTGATTTGCTGAATCTGGGAGAAAATTAGACGGGCCTCTTCATTGTATAGATCTGCTCGAAAACCGAGACCAACAAATTAAATTAATGGCACCACAAATCAAAGTCAGGGAATTGCGTGACTCGGTTTGGTTCAATATAATGGTCCCGTCACTAACACACAGCACACACGGTATTGTATTTCTATAAATTTTAGTGCTTAATTACTCGAGATTTCTTTACCTATATTTGCTGCATGTAGAAAATTTCATTTAATTAATAATTTAAACTTGCTCCCGGCTTTGAAAGTAAAAAGTAATTAATTTGTTTGAAGAAGTGGACACTCAAGGAGATGATCATGGAATTAAAGAAGTCGGGCTTATCCTCGCTGTAAAAAAATTGTTTTTTGATAAAAACAATTTTTTACAACGAGCCCGACTTCTTCATTTCCAGTAATTAATTTATAATATATAAATTCTTAAATTTTTGTTTAATTTGCAGTTCTCTGTCTTGTGGAAATCTGAATAATGTTATAATGCAGAGAAATTTTATATATTGCTGGGTACTTACTGCATTTTACAATGAGGCTTTGCATCTTTAGGTTTCAATTAAAAAGTATAAATATTTTCCATGAATTTAACTTTTTCGTTTATTTAAAAAAAAAACATTTTATGAGTATAAAAGCAGTAAACTTAAATTTCAATTTTACCGAATGAATTTCTGAGTATTTTCTTTTTTAAACTCTCCAGTTGTCGTTTTTGAATCGAGTGTTTTATTGCTAGTCCGTGACGTTTTTTATTATTCAATAAAGTCAAATTCAACATCTCCGCTGGTCTGCTCGAGAATCCATGAGCGATAGGGCGCGACGTCAGTGAAGACGGCCGGAAAGTCACTCTTGCACTTCATGTTCTTGCCCACGATCTCGCTCACGATTCCCCGCACGTAGAAGCGGCCGCCGTCCTTTAGCACCAACGCGGCCCCGCTGTCGCCGTTGCACGGACTCCGGCCCTCTGTAAATTTTTTCCGCCACCAAAATAAGGTGATTTATAAATAAACAAGGCGATCAAACTGACCGTTGATGTAGCCGGCGCACAGGGTGCTGGAGGTCAACTTGGTTGAGTAATAACTCTGCTGGTTCTCAATTTTTTTGCACCGCTCGCGCGCCAAAATGGGCACGTCCAGTTTCTGCAGCTTGTCCGCGTCTTCATAGCCCTCAATCAAACCCCAGCCGGCCAGCTTTTCGTTATAATTTGAATTATTTGAATTAATTTTTATTATTTCGATTCGTACCGAAGCGTTTTTGTTGACCACCAGAGCCTCGTTGCTGCTTTTATACCAAATGCAAATCGGGACAATCGTTTGGGAGAATTCCGCCGCCGAACTCAATCGGAGCAAGGCAATGTCGTTTCTGTTCGACACCGTGTCGTATCTGGTGTGCGGAATTACCCTACTAACCTTAAAGAAGAAAAAATTTTTAGAACATATTTTTTTTCTGCAAAACGATTAGAATATGATTTTCGCCAAATTTGCTTTTAAAGTGTTCATAAACGGAAGCCATTTTTTAATATTGCTATGAAAAATAATGTTGAAACTTTGGCAATGTTAGTCTTCCTGAGACAATTTTTAAAAAACATGCCCGAAATCGTCCTGCAAAATTCAAATAATGTCCGATAATGTCTACCGTGCTGGGATTTCTTTCATTTTCTTTATTTACCACCCTTCCAAATTTAATTTCTTTTTCAATATTCTGATAGCTGGAATAAGATTTCGTGGTTGTTTTGGTTTATATTTTTGACTTGTCGCCATTTTTTTCCCAAAAAAAAATGTGAATATTTCATTAAATATTGGCCCAAAATTAGTTTTTAGAACATCTTTTGAATCCTTTATTGAAAGCCAATCTTCATTCAAATTTTCCTTTTTAGCAGTCACAACCCTTGAAATTAATTTGGTACTCACAGAGAGGCTCTGCACGCCAGTGTCGGGCGTCCATCCAAGGGAAATCCTCTCCTTGCCGAGGTAAACGACGAAATCGTTTTCGGTCAGACGCGTATTGCTCTCGAACACACAGTGTGCGGCTTTAACAACAACAATTAGTCGGTTTCATGTGTCGCACGGTGCGAAATTCGCAATGCATACCTGTCATGACAAAGTGCGTGGAAATCAATGAGCCCGTGCACGCGTGCGTGATGGAGAAGGGCGGGAAGCGGGTCGTGCGGAACAAAGCGGCCGACCAGGGGTAATCCCTGAGCGGCGCGTCCTCGCCGCTGACAATCAGCCGCGTGCCCAGGTTTGCGTTCACCACGCCGCACCGCGCAAAGCTCTGGTAATCTGCAAACGCAAGACGTAAATTCAATAGACTGAGAGACACAGCGCAAACCTGCTCCATTGAACATTAATCAACCGGAAAATGCAATAGGGGTGATTTCACCAAATTATAAAATAAATAGAATTTGTGTTTGATCTAAAGCAACGGTCAAAGTTTGATTTGGCATTTAGTTGCAAATAATGTTTATTGATCTATCACAAGAGACAATCACTGCCTTTAACTAAATACATCAATCATAACTTATCTTCATATGCACAATTATGTTACAAGAGTGTGGAAAACTTTGAAAATTAAAATTTTAAATGATTCGCATTATTTTCTTACTATAAGAGACGAAATTAAAGCAAAAAAGAGAATTTCATAAATACTTTTGGGCTTGACGATGGAAGTGGGCAGGAGTTCGGCGAGTTTGACGTCACTGCGCGTGGTGACGAAGTCGGTGTAGAGGGCCACGTCGGTGAAGCTGATGAACCTGTTCCTGCGGCACTCGTCCGCAGCCCCGCCGGTGACCTTGCCCTTGCCATTCGCTTTGAAGCCGGCGTTGTACAGCCCCCTGAGGAACCATCGCTCGCCCACTTTGAATTGCATGGGCGCGCCGAACCCTTTCAGACACGTGCTCTCGCCATCTGCAATGCAAATACACACGCACTCTTTTATAAAACAAAAAGTCCCCTGCTCGCTGCGCTTGCCTTTGTACGCCAGGCAGATGTTGGAGTTTTCGAAAACGTCTCTGAACGACGGCGGCGCGCTCTCTCTGCACGCGGCCGCGTCCTCCACCCGGAAGTTGCCCAGGACCGTTTTATTCAAAGACCACTCCTTGCCAACAACCTGTAGTAAATATTTAAAAAATAAAAATGTGACAAATGTGAATTTTGTTGATACTTTAAATTTGAGAAGATGCGAAAATTCCAAAGGATAAATTTTTATTTCAAATATTCATTCATGGCAAATACTTTTAAAATTAAATTGCTACTAAAAATGAAGTTAAAGAATATCAATAAATAATTATCTCTTTTTGCCCGAAATGAACATTCACTGTAATATCCAATTACCTGTAGTTTTAAAGCTTTAATATCCCATCAACAAATAAATCTTTTTTCATAATTAAAAAAAGCGTAAATTTATGGCTAAATATATATGCAAATTTTATATTATTCTAGTACTTTGAGAAAAATTTTAAGCTTTTTTTTGCATGGAATATAAGTTTTTCTAAACGATTTCTCATTGCTCGAGCTAAAAATCAACAATATTTTACTTCACCATACACATGGGTGGATTTAAAATTTTGGTCATTCAATTAATATTGCCAGATGATATCTCTAAAATTTAAATCAGTCATAGATTAATTTTATGTGGACTTCACTGTTCAATCTATATCTCATATTCTCTCATATTATCCCTATAAATATACAAAATTTCCTATCCATTTTAATTAAAAAGTATTTTTCCTCACCGTAGCGACGCCGTTGTTTTCGGCAATGAGCGATCCGTCGGTTTTGATTTTCTTGTTCCAGAGACAAACGGGCAAAACGCCGTTTTTCAAGAGGTCGCTGTTGAAGGTGAGCACGGCCAAGTTCGCTCTCAGGGAGGACAATTCATATCTTGGATGCACGTCGACTTTCACCGGCTGAAATACGTTTTCGCTTAAAACAACACAATTTAAAAAAAAAGTGCGGAGTTGTTACGCTGAGGCCGCCGGCAGTAAAGTTGCTCTTGGCGAAAGTCACTCGGATTTTCGCCGGCTCCGCTCCAGACACGCAAAAGGCGGCTGAGAATTTTTATTGATATTGGGCAGAGCGAGAAATAATGAGGAGAACCTGTCAGAATGCACTTGTTGGAGATGACGGTGCCGAAGCAGTGGCGTTTGTGGTTCAGCAGGTGGGTCTCGTCGTCCGCCTCGATTTTGGCCAACCACGAGTAGTCGCCGAAGCGCCAAAGGCCGCATTCCGAGTGACTCAAATTGTCCGCAAATTCAAACTCTGTAAATTCAATCAAGTAAAAATAAAAATTATTCAAAATTTAAAAATTAACGGACTTGGAGCTATTAATGAGCGTCTGTTCTGCGGAGACCCTACACAGCTCGCAACGACCAGAGCCAATACAAAAATCTGAAAAATTTAAAATTTAGGATTGAATTTTGAATTAAAAAAGCGCATACCTCCATCGTCCCCAACAACGTGAGCATCTCTGCCGGACGAGATAAACAAAGATGCAAGCCAATAATTATTATCCAAGCAGTGTTGCCAGCCGAGAGAGAGATTCGATTTTTGCTTAACTTGTCAGTTATACTTTATAATTAGGTTTTGAATTTAAAAACTATGTTTTTTTTATAACAATTTGATCGGTTAGTTGAAATTTGATTCCAATGGCCAGTTTTAGAAATCAAAGCTGAAATTAACAAACTGTGTTCAAAATTTGCAACCACGTGTAGTTGTGACGTCTCTCGTCGTGGGTCACGCCGAGCTCGAAGGTCAGACGCTCTTGTTTTGCTTCTCAAATAAACACATCTCGCTTTCCTCATCAGCAAGGTTGCTTCGGTATCACGTGGTATCATCGATGAAGCCATGCAAATTAGGCTCTGTAATTTTGTTTAATGAAACTTTTTTATTTTTTTTTATGTTCTTTTATAATTTTAAAGATTTATTTTGTATTCTGTTATAAATTTAACTCTAGTTCGATATATAAAGCGATAATTAAATGAATAATCAAGGATCTTCTAAAATAAAATACTATTATGAATTTTTATATAATTTGGGGAATTTTCAGTCAAAACTGATTTTCACCTCTAAATAAAGTGATTCTGCTTAGCGGGTTAATAAGCCTCTGACTTTTTGTGGGCGGCACTAGACGTGAGTGACAGGAGTCGCAGTTGGGCACAACAGCCTCTCAATTGCGGTAACGAGCTTGCAGGCGCCGCATCATTAGCGAGAAAGCAGTTCAGTGTGGCTGCCTGTTCTGAGGCCATCAATCCTATTATCAATCGATCCCAGTCGTAATGTGCGATAAATGCACACCCATTTGCTGGAATCTCTTCTTATATCGAGTCTCAATTAAACGCTATCGCGCTCAATTCCCCTCCATAAAATTTCATCTCTCTTAAATAAAACTAAATTGAGTGATACTTATCAGACGAAGCCAATGATTTCAAGTTTGTGTCAGATTTAGGATTAAAATTTGTATCTTGAAAATTAATTCAGTAAAATAAAACTAGACTGTTTTCAACATTTAATGATAATATTTTGAAGAGCTCAAAATAGAAACATACAAGGAAAAGAACAGTCATTAATTGTAACCTACAAGAAGATAAAAATAGTTATGCAGCGAGACTGTTTATTTGATTTGAAACAGGAAACTGTACATGGTCGCAGACTTCCTCATCATATGGTGCTGTGTAGCGAAGCAGCAGAAATATTACAACTATTGAAATACAGTGTTGCTCTTAATAATTGCTGAAAGAAATTTTATGGTTTCAAACTGGGAAACACAACGTTGGAAAATATAATATGGACGTAAGTGCATTTCCACACAGTTTCCTTTACTTTTCTCTGCTCTGTATCAATTAGGAATTTATTTTAATTTTGTGTGTTGTTTTCACTCTTTTCCTCCTTTTCCGATAACATAATTTATAAGTTTAGCTTTCTCTTCGCATTTAAATTTCCAGGCTTGAAGTCAATTTAGGCAATTTTTATGGCGTTAATTGGGTTGTTAAGTTTCTCATTCAAGCAGTGGCTTGTGATGATCCACTTTGGGGCAATGATTTGGCTCCAGCAGAGCGCAAAATGAAAAACATTTCGAGCTGTGGGCCTGAAGCAAGTTTCCTTCCGCGTGCCTCGAGGCAACTCTTAATTAGATTGGAAAAGTTTGTAATAACAGCAGCTCGAATATAAATTGCTCCGGCCGGACACGAACCGAGGATGAGAAAAAGAGGGATTCATCAAGAAACAGACGCAACTAAAAATCCCTCGTTAATTTTGTTTTTTCACCATTTCATAAACGAACTAAATTTTTCCTGCATTAACTGGAGAGACATGGTGTTCGTTTAAAAGTTTTCTGTTTGATTTAAATAAAGTGGATTAATTTTTGCTAAAATCAGCTGAAAAAGTTGTCTGACTTTTAAAAGTATTAATTCCAATAAAAAACATTTATAAAATATATCAAACTAAATTAATTACAATCAAAACTTTTTCTTTTACTTAATTTATTGATGTATTTATTTTTTAATCTAATAAATCCATCCCTTCACTCTTCATCTTGCATGCTTTTTTAATTCAATAATGATTTAAGACTGAATTTAAACATTTTATTCTCTAAAATTAATTAAAATGGGCAAATTCATGGAAATATTAAAAGGTGAATTAATGTATGGATATTTCCTTCGTCGAATTACTTGTAAATTATCTCAAATTATTCATTGAAATTAACCTAAAAATTGTTATGGTATAAAGTGGAAATACATCAATATCAGGTTCTTTCATTCAGCAATTCAGACTTGTTCCTTATTTCCCAGCACGTGTTTCCACTTTGCATGATGAGCAAATATTCTGCCGTTGCTGCAGAGAGACATTTAATTAAAAATCAAATAAATTTGCGAGTTGAGTGCCTCTTCTGCGATATACTTTCTCTTGAGTTAATGTTAGGTATATATCTGTGAGGTGCGGTGGTGGGTGCTCTACTCGAATGAAGAGATGCGCGCGGACGGGAAATTTATTATTCCGCTCCGTCTGACTGACATCCCTTTTTTATTGAAAGCAACGTTTTCCTTTGGTCGTCGGTTTCGGTAAAACTCTCTCTGGTCTCGCAGGAGAGCGAGCAACTTCGCGTTCAATATATGAATTTATGCAAAGCTCCACCTTTCTTTTCCTTTCCTTCGAAGAAAGAGAAGCCTTCGGAATTTCTCAGGGGGCGTTTTGTTGATCGTGCATGCAAACAATGACCTCAGATTTCCTCAAATGAATTTTATCCCTTTTCATGTGGGCTCCTATTTCCGACCTGCTCGTGGATATTAAAATTCCATTTGGCTCCGATCGAGCAAATATTGGCCATTTTTTTCTCTTTATTTTTTTCAATTTCCGCCACGTCGCGCGAGCAGATTTAATATAGGCGCCATTTCAAATGCGAAATAATAAGCTGCGGCTCACAATCAGACTAAAAATCTGTGTGCAGGAATATAAAGTGTATGTAAATCCAACTACTCGACGCATTGCTCTCTCCGCCCGCCGTAAATCTTTATGAATGTTTCAGCCTGGGAGGAGGAAAATTCCCGAGATGAAATAAATTCACTGCCTGCTGTATTTTTAGCGCTGAAATCTTTTTAAAAAGCCTTTGCGATAATCCCACTTTCTGGAGTACAAACGAACAGAGGATCTCAATCAGAGGCAGCAAATTGAACAAGAAGCAAAAGTTGATTGCTTCGGAAGTAGAAAGTCCTCCAGGAAATACCTTTTGGTCCTTAACGCGGTTAACACGAAATAAATTGCAGTCATTTCCCAGCACTATACACTTTGCTAATTGGATTCTGCGCGTTTCCGATTCACTCGAGCACGTCCTCGATTTCGCCCGATTTTTTGTACTATTTTTTTATTGCCACCAGGAGTTAAAAATTAAAAGGGACGCGCTCTCTTCGGGCCCGAGAGACGGCAGCTCAAGCTCCATTTGTTGCGAGACTTGAAGATCTCTCCACTCTGAGGCTGCCAGCAAAGAAGGCCAAACCATTTTTCTCCTATTGTTCCCTAGTGGTGCTGCTGGAGAGTGAAAAATTCGCCTTCGTTGGGTGCGCACGTGCAGCGAATAATTTTTTTTGAAACAAGATGCTCTCCAAGTCACGGACCCTCTTTTATGAAGTCGATCTCTTCAGAGGTTCCAAATATTCAAAAGTCCCTTTGATTGTTTATTAATTGTGCATCATTATCTTATTTTATTTTTAAGTAAATTTGATCAGAAATTAATAATTTATGTTATTGTTCTTGTTTATTCGTCCACATTGTTTACAGTTAATTAATGGAAAACAATTTGTTTGAATTTAATTTTTACCGTCAATTAACAACAAATACAATTAACTTCCCAACATAATTTTTGATTGGATTTTTACTGAATTGAATATTGTTTTAAAATTCTAACAAATTTTTACTGAATATTGTTTTAAATTTCAAACGAGAAGCAGTTTTAGCAACGGTTTAAGAGTTTTGCCGTGCCCATTTTGCAGATTGGAGAGGAAGATGCTAAAGTTTTCATATATTTTCGTATTGGCTTTTTTGGCAGGTAAAACTTACAGGCAAAAACATGATTATATTTTCTGCAAAAGTTTATTGATTAGTAAATTCTAGGATTTTAAGGAAAACAAATTTTTAGTAAATTAAACCAAGAGAAAATATATTTCCATTTATTTGTGAGAAAAATTAATTCTTGCCTTTTATTAGGACAATTCGCTGCAAGTCCTTTCAAATGAGCTAAATCCATAGCCGGTCAGGCAGCAAAGGAGCTAATTGTAAGTGCCAAAGGAGCTAAATCCACTATTGACCTAAAACGCGTTTGTTCTTGGAATTGGTTCGTTTCCACCTTATGAGTGACTAGGTATCATTAGATAGCATAGTTCATATGACAACATGGGTGGAAAAGTGCCTGATAATGTGCAGTGGTTATGCAGCCACGCCATACACCGTCGAATTTCGCTTCATTAAACATCAACATTACGTTTTTCCGCTTTTCTTTATTCAATTTTTAAAAACTTTACAGCGTTTTAAAGATAATTTTTCAGATATCAAAAACTGAGTATGTGGCAAGATCAAGAATTAATATTATGCCATATTATTAAAAACTAATGAAATCTAACTGTATAGTGCCATTCTCATTTTAACAAGCTCTTCGCGATTATTGAATCGCAGAGTTGCTTTATGCATATATATTGTATTGGAAATAGTATTTCTGCTTATGAATTAACTTTGAAAAACCGTATAAATAAACATGATAATTGAAAATAAACAAATAAATGATTACAAAAAGTGATAATAGAATTGAATTGAAAATAATTTAATAAATGAAAGACCTACTCAACATAAAGCATTGCACTTATTGATAAAGAAAAGGAGTTGCTCAATTGAAATTGACCAAAAACACAATGAAAAGTTTATAAGCAAAAGCAAAAAACTTTAGCTTGATGATCTTTATCAAGGTATAATAAAATAATTGATTTTACCTCTATTGATAACTTAAAATAACTTTCATGATTTTTTCCAATGAAGCTCACCAAAATGTTTGTTCTTAGCGATGATACGTTTGTGTTGACGTTGAAAATTAAAATATAATGACATTTATAAAATTAAATAAAATAGATATTTATATTTAGTCACAGCTGAAAACGTATTTTAATATTCCATTGAAAAAATTTCGGTTTGAATAAATTTGTTTTATTTGAGTAATTCATAAGAAACAAAACTAATCAAAATTTTTTACAAATTTATTGTTTTGAACTTAATATAAAATAAATAAAAGATGGTTTTCTTAAAAAGCATCACTTTTTTCTTATTGTATTCTATCGGCACCTTTGGTTTGCACAGCCGAGTCAATAATGAAAGTTGGATTCTTGGTGAAAATCATGAATTAAATTTTTTTCATTTAAGCGCTATATCTTCATTAAATTTTATTGTTCAGGCGCATTTAGGGACTTAAATCGAAGGCGCTTGCACAGCCGAGTCAATATTGAAAGTTGGATTCTTGGTGAAAATCATGAATTAAATTTTTTTCATTTAAGCGCTATATCTTCATTAAATTTTATTGTTCAGGCGCATCAAGGGACTTAAATCGAAGGCGCTTGCACAGCCGAGTCAATATTGAAAGTTGGATTCTTGGTTAAAATCATGAATTTAATTTTTTTCATTTAAGCGCTATATCTTCATTAAATTTTATTGTTCAGGCGCATCAAGGGACTTAAATCGAAGGCGCTTGCACAGCCGAGTCAATATTGAAAGTTGGATTCTTGGTTAAAATCATGAATTTAATTTTTTTCATTTAAGCGCTATATCTTCATTAAATTTTATGGTTCAGGCGCATCAAGGGACTTAAATTGAAGTCGCTTGCACAGCCGAGTCAATATTGAAAGTTGGATTCTTGGTGAAAATCATGTATTTAATTTTTTTCATTTAAGCGCTATATCTTCATTAAATTTTATTGTTCAGGCGCATTTAGGGACTTAAATCGAAGGCGCTTGCACAGCCGAGTCAATATTGAAAGTTGGATTCTTGGTTAAAATCATGAATTTAATTTTTTTCATTTAAGCGCTATATCTTCATTAAATTTTATTGTTCAGGCGCATCAAGGGACTTAAATTGAAGTCGCTTGCACAGCCGAGTCAATATTGAAAGTTGGATTCTTGGTGAAAATCATGTATTTAATTTTTTTTCATTTAAGCGCTATATCTTCATTAAATTTTATTGTTCAGGCGCATTTAGGGACTTAAATCGAAGGCGCTTGCACAGCCGAGTCAATATTGAAAGTTGGATTCTTGGTGAAAATC